ATTGATGGCATAGCATAATTTTCAGGTTCCAGTGAAAAAAAAAACAATCCCCCCCCCCTCAAATAGCATATCACCTGTGATCATTTACTGTGGTCTGTAAATGAATGTTAAAGATATGTTCATGCTGGAAATCTACACAACAATTTAAAGGCCTTTCACAGAGACAAGACACTTATACGCTATCAGTTAGGATGTCCATGTCATTTACAGTTTTTGGTAATTTCAATTTCATTTCTAAAACATAGAAAATTGACAACAACAAAAAAAGAGAGAAAGGAAACTGTAGTAAAATAACTTCAGAACCTTGATGTGTTAGCAGACAAATGTGCAGTATCCATTGTGAAATCCAGATGTTTACAGAACTTTCATGTTCTTTTTATATACATGTGATAAAATGAATTCTGCACAATGTCAGCATCATTAAGGACACTCTAAACCACAGGCACTTGTTTCAGTAAAAATTTTTTTAATCCATACTAGTATAATAATAACATATTACACCATGGGTTAAATAATTTATTACCCAAACAAGTATATTATGCTATGGGTTAAAAAATTTATACCGGTGCTCTAAACACTGAGTGCTAATTTTAGGGTAGCTTTATGCAGTTTGAGTGATCTGCCCTTACATGTAAGATCCAATAAACAGGAAAAATGTAATAGATCAATGTATTCTTCTCACTATATTAAACCAAGATAAAGTAATTGAATACATTATTTCATTTATTTTACAAATGTAAGGAAACACCAGTGATTTTTGTTTACTAATACTTCATTATCTGAATATTTTTCCTGAGGAAATATATGCTGAAAATGAACTAGATAAAATCAATACATGTACACTTTTATATGAAATTTTTTTTTTTTCAAAAGTCCCCAAAACATTTTTACTTATTGTTTAGAGGCTCCTTAAGACTTCTGTAGAGCGGAGATATAAATTTACATTACAAAAGTCACCCTCCCGTTAAAACATTTCTACTCTTGTTTTAATAACATTTTAAGTATGTCATAATATACAGTTTTGAACTGTTTGTCTTCAAATACACTATCTCACTTTCCCTCTAGCTTCATTTATGGTTTTCTTTTCATCAGATTTATGCTTTTCATAAAGTTTTCTAATCTCCATCATTAATTCCTCAATCCCAGTCTGTTTGGCTGCAGAAATTGCAATAACAGGTAAGTCTACATTGGCTTTTAACACCTCCAAATTTTTCTCCGCCACACTTAGATCCACCTTGTTGGCCACAATCAAATTAGGTCGTGTAGAGAGTCCCTCTTGATACTGTTCAAGTTCATACTGTAGGGCTCTGAACTGGGTCCAGGGTTCAGTATAAGACAGGTCTATAACATAGAGGAGACAGGCACAACGCTGTATGTGTTGTAGAAAGGAAAACCCCAGGCCTAAGTTCTTGTGAGCTCCCACAATCAGCCCGGGAATATCTGCAACTGGTCAACACAGAAAAACAAGTACAATTGAACTCTGTTATCTTCAACTTTGATATCTCGAATACCATGGATATGTTGAAGTGAATAAAAAAGTCTCAACTGCTTTTTCTTTACAAATTTTAATTTTGAATTTTCGAATCATTAAGATACCTCAAAGATTTTTCTTGGTCCATAGAATTAGAGAAAGTGATATTTGACTGTAATTGATTTAAATAAGGATTCAAATGAAACCTTCTGCTTATGCTTTCTCAGTAACATGGACATATAATTTTTTAAAAAAAAATAACTTCCAAAGAGTTCCAATGAGCAATAATTATCAGTACTAAATAACTCAGTTCAACTGTGGTGTTTAGAAAAGACAACAAAAATAAACCAGAATGTACAAGGGAAATTACTCTAGCTCAAGTTTTCATTTACAGTCAATTTAATTCTAACAATTTTTTGTTAAGAAAAGACTTTTCAGAAGATCAAAAGATTCCTGGTGTAACAAGTGTACAAAATCCTTTGAGGATCAATTTTCCTACCTGTAATTTGCTCATGGTCTGAATACTCCATAATTCCAACAAATGGGTTTCGTGTTGTGAATGGATATGCCGCTACCTTAGGTTTGGCCCTAGTAATGGCCCTCAGAAGTGTAGATTTCCCGGCATTTGGAAATCCTATCTATAAATTAATAAGGAAATATGGAAGAAGTTAATGAATGATGAATGTGGATTGACAAAATTGGCAAATATTCAAAAATTATTTGGCTTAGTTCTCAAAACTTCAAACCCTCTTTAAACACATAAAACAGAAAATTTTCCTTTTTTAAAAAAATTAATATTGAGAAAAGATATGTGAACTTTCCCTAATATAATAATGAATTTGTTTAAAAGACGCCCAGGATAAATGAACATTTTGTGCTTTAATTCTAGAGAGTAATTAACAATGTATTATGATCTTGATTTACCAGACCAATATTAGCCATTGTTCTCAGTTCTACTCTCAGGCGGTGGTACTCTCCCTTGCCCCCTTTCTCTGCTATTGTGGGTGCTCTATTTTCATTGGACAGGAAGAATTGATTGCCTTTTCCCCCAACTCCACCCCTCCCTGCCACATAATAGTCTCCATCACACTCCAGATTAGCAAGTTCCTGGCCATTCATTGAGCTGATCACTGTTCCCATTGGAACCTATCAAAATACCACAATAGTCCATATCATTTCTCTAAATCAGAAATTAAGAATACCTCAGTAATAATCACTGAACAATTTATTATGAATCTTAAAAATAAAATTTTAAAACAAAGTACATTTAATCAAATATGACCACTGGATACTTAACGATAAAAAAAAGTTAAAGATATTAATCTAATGTTTCAAACTTTATTTGAACTACTGTTAACATACTTTATTCTATGGGATCATAATTCTGCGGAATTACAACTTCTATTCAATCCGCAGGTAGAAAAATATGCAGATTTCATGAACTGTCATTGTTAGTCTTTAATGCACTTTTAGTTTGCTGTGACAAATTTCCACAGAAAATTAGTGACAGCGTATATAATGTTAATTAATCCCAATGCAGAAAAAAGTACATCTATAATATAAGCTTACTTTTACATATGTGTGATCCACAGAAGCACCATGGCAGTTTTGTGATTTTCCAGCCACTCCTTTATCAGCTCTGATGTCTGAGGATAAATGATTCAATGATTTCTCTGTAGTGGTGGCTGAAATGTGAAGGTAAATCTTAGAGGTAAAAATGGTCTTGTATCAGAATTCATATCAAGTCAAGGTAAAATTATAGGTAACCTGTAAAGGGTGCCCCATGCAATACCTTCAATAAATACCTAATTTGTTATACATGTACATGAATTCATCAATACTTCATTTTGTACTAATTTGAGATTAGAAAAAAACTTCTCAATTAATGCTTGTACACCATGTACACTAATTTACTATCAGTGTGTTTTTTCTGTACATCTTTATTTTCACAGTATATCATACTTGTAGTAATTCTTCAAGTGACAATTATATTAGAACAAAGACTTTCAGTTAGTTTTGTTTAAAATTGCTATCCCTGAAGTTTTTTGACTCTTTTTGAATAAAAACTTGTACAAGTGTAGACTGAAACAGAGTCCTTTTTATTAACAGTTATGCTATCTAGAACACTTCAGGTGTAATTATATATTTAAGGATTTCTCACCTATGAATATAACATGTCCTCCATTTCCCCCATCTCCTCCATCAGGCCCTGCAAATTCTTTCCTTGGAATTTTCGCAAATGACATGCAGCCATCTCCTCCATCACCCCCATATACCTGCACCTCCTTATAATCAATAAAATGTTTAGCCTGAAAAAAAAGAGAGAAAGCTATTCAATATAATAATTTAATATTTATTTTAAAAAAAAGAAGCTTTTCAAGGATATACCTTCATAAAACTTAATTTAAAATATTTTCATAAATAAAAACTATGATTCCTTATGGTTAAATAACATGATATTTGACATTTTTATAATTAAAATTATTTTCAAAAATGATTTCAATGTTAAACATCAAAATGAGAGTACCATACTCTGCACTCATATCAATGGCAAGATAAACTGAATTTTTTTGAGAGAGACTGATCTGAAACTGTCCCGCATAGCCACAATGATCAACACTTTTGATGAGTAGTCACAAAGTTAAAGGTATCAGACCCCCTTTATTGTTAAAAATGACTATCTCAAATAATCTACATTGATTTGAAAGCAATGCATGAACTTAACTATGTGTAGCACAATAATTAGTCAAAACAGACTACATGTCCTTTAATCTTCATCTCGTTTTTTTTCTTACTTACATTCCCCACATGAAAATTGGGAATTTATTATGGTAATTCTTTTTTAATTTAAAGTCTTATTTCACTTACGCCATATTGATAAAATAAAATCAACTGTTCTTGATTAATTTTAGTGTGAACCTTTTACATGCATGTACCTCATTAGTGACGCCTCTCTTTGTTCGGGGCAATAAAGGTCTGTAAGATGAAAACACAGCGACAATATTCTTTTCAAAACACTGGTTCAACAATTTCAATTTACTATACGTAAATGGCAATGAAGGACAACGTCGTAAATTTTTCATATTTGATTCCTACATTGCAATAAGATTAACAGAGATAATTCGAAATTGACAGTTCTGAGGAGTCGTACGAATGAAATTCTACTTTCAAGCAATATTTTTAATCATGTGTAATTTTCGAAGAGACATTTATTCTTTAACATTACCTGTTTCCATCAAATAGTTGTTTATTGAAAATATGCTAAAACAATTTGACTGGAATATTTTTTAAATGAAATTTTCTTTAAATAAATGAACGCGTTAACTTTTCAAAGCACATTAAGCCTGGGGTAAAACAAGTCCCATTGAAATATGAATACAGGGTATCTGAGACCTTAAAATAGATCATATTGTATATCTATCAGTTTTTAAATGTGTTGTGTAGGTTTTTGAACAATTATTGAATTAGACCTCATACTAGCTCGTAATTTTCAGTTGATTATTAGGTGAAAGAAGATTATTACCCAAAT